GTCGGAAGCACAGCAACTTTTGTACGAACCGTACCCGATGCTATTCTTGGTACATTCGGCCCCGATCTCTACAATGTCCTCACCAGATACTTTCCTTCTCTCCGGATTGGAAAGCCCCCAACCCGAACACTCATCAGTGACTTCACCGGATGCGTTCGTGATGGCGAGATGATGCTCGTCTTGGGACGACCTGGTGCTGGGTGCAGTACCTTCCTCAAAGCTATCAGCAACAACCGCGAATCATATGCTGCCGTCGAAGGAGAAGTTTCGTACAGCGGCATTTCTGCTGATGAGCAGAAAAAGCACTATCGGGGCGAGGTCAACTACAACGGCGAAGACGATGTTCACTTTGCTACTCTGAGCGTGTGGAAGACTCTCGCCTTTGCGCTTACCAACAAGACCAAGATCAAGGAGAAGGCTGATATTCCGGTTATCGTGGATGCTCTCATGAAGATGTTTGGTATCAGCCATACAAGAGATACTGTGGTTGGTGATGACTTCACTCGAGGTGTCTCCGGTGGTGAGCGAAAGCGAGTCTCGATTGCAGAGACATTGGCATCGAAGTCTACCGTGATGGCATGGGATAACTCTACTCGAGGATTAGACGCATCGACCGCCCTCGACTACGCACGATCTCTGCGTATTATGACAGACATCAGCAACCGAACCACTCTCGTCACCTTGTACCAGGCGGGAGAGGGCATTTACGAGTTGATGGATAAGGTTCTGGTCATCGATCAAGGCCGACAGATCTTCTCCGGACCTGCCAACAAGGCAAAGCAGTATTTCATCGACCTTGGATTTGAATGTCCCGAAAGACAGACAACAGCAGACTTCTTGACTGCCGTCACCGATCCGACCGAACGACGCTTCCGACCCGGATTTGAACACCGCGCTCCCCGAACACCAGAAGAGCTCGAGTCGGCTTTCAGGAACTCACCACATTACCAAGAGCTCCTGGCTGATGTTGCTGCATATAAGGAGTCTCTTCATCAGTCTGACTACCAAGACGCGAAGAGGTTCCAGGGGGCCGTCCAGGAGTCAAAGTCAAAGCACGTCTCTGACAAGTCACCATACACCATCTCGTTCCCCCGACAGGTACTTGCTTGCACTAAGCGAGAAGCCTGGCTCCTGTTCGGTGATACCACAACACTCTGGACGAAGCTCTTCATCATCATCTCCAACGGTTTCATTGTTGGATCTCTCTTCTATGGGCAGACTGAGGATACTGCAAGTGCTTTCAGTCGTGGCGGTACAATCTTCTTCTCGATTCTCTTCTTGGGCTGGCTTCAGCTTTCTGAGCTTATGAAGGCTGTGTCTGGACGTGCCGTTGTCGCTCGACACCACGACTATGCTTTCTATCGTCCTTCCGCTGTTTCCCTTGCTCGCGTTCTGCTCGACTTTCCTGTTATCGGTGTACAGGTATGCATCTTTGGTCTCATCATGTACTTCATGACTGGGCTTGATGTGGATGTATCAAAGTTCTGGATCTACATGCTCTTCGTTTATACCACAACCATCATGGTCACAGCCCTGTATCGCATGTTTGCCAGCGTATCCCCAGAGATTGACACGGCTGTGCGATTTTCGGGAATCTCTCTCAACCTGCTCATCATCTACACCGGATATGTCATCCCCAAGACTCAGTTGTTGAAGGATTATATCTGGTTCGGCTGGTTGTACTGGATCAACCCCATCAGTTACAGTTTTGAGGCTGTCTTGACCAACGAGCTTTCCGATAGAATTATGGAATGTGCTCCCTCCCAGCTAGTTCCGCAGGGACCTGGAGTTCAGTCTGGATATCAGGGTTGTGCTATTAGCGGAGCTACAGTCAATGCCCAGTCAGTATCAGGCGCCGATTATCTACAAGCTACCTTCAACTATAGCCGATCAAACCTATGGCGGAACTTTGGCGTTGTCATTGCTTTTGCTGTTCTCTATATCCTCGTCACGGTATTGGCAACAGAGATGGTCAGCTTCACACAAGGTGGGGGTGGTGCCTTGATCTTCAAGAAGAGCCGAAGGGCTAAGGAACAAGCACGCAAAGCCGAAGCCCCTGTCGATGACGAGAAAGTCGTTGGAAATAGTGCCAGCAGCTCCTCCGGCGTTGTCGCTGACCCCAACACAGGCAGTGAAGACGGAGCCTTGGAACAAATTACCGATAGCGAGTCTATCTTTACATGGCGTGATATCGAGTATACAGTTCCATATCTCGGTGGTGAGAAGAAACTTCTGAACAAGGTCAGCGGATATGCTAAGCCTGGTGTCATGGTTGCCCTTATGGGAGCTTCGGGTGCTGGCAAGACCACGCTTCTCAACATTCTCTCCCAACGTACAAGCGTTGGGGTCGTTACAGGTGAGATGCTTGTCGATGGACGATCTCTTGGCGCCGACTTCCAGAGAAACACTGGATTCTGCCTTCAGGGTGACCTACACGATACAACTCAGACTGTGAGAGAGGCAATTGAGTTTTCTGCCATCCTGCGGCAGGACAAATCTGTCAGCCGTGCTGACAAGCTTGCGTACGTGGACAAGATCATCGACCTGCTGGAGCTCAATGACCTGCAAGATGCCGTTATCATGTGTCTCGGAGTGGAACAACGTAAGCGTCTTACCATCGGCGTTGAATTGGCAGCCAAGCCTTCACTACTTCTCTTCCTTGATGAGCCCACTTCTGGTCTTGACTCACAGTCTGCTTACTCCATTGTCCGTTTCCTCCGAAAGTTGAGCCGGGCTGGTCAGGCGATCATCTGCACCATTCACCAGCCAAGCTCTGTTCTTATTCAGCAGTTTGATATGGTCCTTGCTCTGAACCCTGGCGGCAACACATTTTACTTTGGCTCTATGGGTGAGAACGGAGAAGACGTCATCAAGTACTTCTCAGACCGCGGTGCTCACTGCCCTCCTAACAAGAACGTCGCCGAATTCATTCTTGAGACTGCTGCACGACCTCACAGGCGGCCTGATGGCACCAAAGTTGATTGGAATCAGGAATGGGTTGAAAGTGAGGAAGCTCAAAAAGTGCTTGAAGAAATTGATGGTCTCAAACGGGTTCGAAGTTCCGCAACCGAGGGGATAGCTTCTTCAAACAAGGAGCACTCAGAATTTGCTGCACCGACCTGGCTTCAGACGGTCGAGTTGACCAAGCGTATGTTCCGACAACACTGGCGCGACCCCTCTTACATCTATGGAAAGTTCTTCATTGCGGTCATCTTTGGTATTTTCAATGGCTTCACCTTCTGGAAACTGGGCTACACGATGCAAGACATGCAAAACCGTATGTTCACTTGCTTCTTGATTGTGACAGTTCCTCCCACCATCGTCAATGGCGTTGTCCCCAAGTTCTTTACCAACATGGCGCTTTGGCAAGCCCGAGAATATCCTTCTCGTATCTACGGATGGTTTGCTTTCTGTACTGCCAACATTGTTTCTGATATCCCTGCGGCTGTAGTGTCAGCAGTGCTGTACTTTGTGTTGTGGTACTGGCCCACTGGACTTCCAACCGAGAGCTCTGTTTCAGGCTATACGTTCCTGATGACTCTTCTCATCTTCCTTTTCATGACAAGCTGGGGACAATGGATCTGCGCGTTTGCCCCTAGCTTTACCGTTATCTCCAATGTAAGTTCTGCCCTCGTTCTGGTCTCGGTGATATTTCTTTTCGTACTAACAGCATTAGGTCCTGCCATTCTTCTTTGTGATGTTCGGTTTGTTCAACGGTGTCGTTCGCCCATATGCCTCACTTCCTGTCTTCTGGAGGTTCTGGATGTACTACGCGAACCCCTCTACATACTGGATTGGAGGCATCCTCGCGGCGACTCTTGATGGCACTCCAGTGGAATGTTCGTCCGAAGAGACTGCCAAGTTTGACGCCCCCCCAGGACAAACATGTCAAGAATATGCAGGAGCATTTGCAGACTCCGCCGGAGGATATCTCCTCAACCCCAATGCCACGAGTGCTTGCGAGTTCTGCCCAATGACTTCTGGTAACGATTATCTAGCGTCACTCAACATTAATGCGAGTGACAAGTGGAGAGGTATGCTGATCCTACCAAGCCGTTTTGACATCATGTACTAACATACTGCAGATTTTGGTATCTTCTTAGCATTCTGTGTGTCCAACTGGATGCTCGTTTACTTCTTTATTTACACAGTCCGTGTTCGGGGATGGAGCTTTGGTTTTGGAACGATCTTTGGAGGGTTGGGCAAGTTGGTAGACCTGATCAAGAAGCCATTTCAGCAAAAGAAGGAGGAGTAAGAGTGAGGCTTGGATGACGAGGATTTTCTCAAGGCATGAGTCAAAGTTCAGAGTTTATTCATGCTGTTTTATGTAACGCTTCAGCGAATGTAATCCGCTAAAATATAATGAGTAGAGAAAAAAAAAAAAAACCACTCCAACCGTCCATTAGCCCAGAAACACAGAGACGACCTGCCATATAGCATCGACGAGCTTCTAGGAAAAGTATTAGAGTTTTCTTACTATATGTTTCAAATGACTTACCAAGAGTCCACCGCAAATACCTCCGAATTTTGCAACGTACTTCACCCCGATCTACTTGGGGTTGTCGAACCACTTGACAAAAAATGGTCGGTTTTGTTCTATCCAGTTAGCTTAGGCTGCTCATTACAGTAATCATACTTACCCATCAATTCTCGCTGCTTTTCCCTTTGTTCCATGTAGCGCACAAGATTGTACATCTCTTCGAATCGTCCCTCATGAGAGGGTATGGGTGGTGGAAGTAATTGTTGTCTTTGGTTCTGAGTAAATCGAGGCTTCCTAGGCCTCGGTTGGCATCTTTGCCATGGTACTTTCGTGATTGAACGGGCCAAGAATCTTGAGAGCATGTTTGTGGTATTGATGAAATCTGACGAAGAATGAAAGATAGTGTGATGACAATCGAGATGGATTGGATGATTAATGTATCGTGATCTTGATGATGATAGAACAAGGAATAACCTGAAACGGGGGTCAGTCACCTTTTAAAGGAGGAGACATATCAAACCTAATATAAGGGCAAGAACCTTCTTTGAACTCTAACACATCGGCCCGCAACTTCCGTGGAGAATGAGCCCATCTCCAGGCTGACCTCGGACGCCGATTTCATCTTCTTGGAAATGGGGTCGTAGAGCTCCTCCTGCATCTTGCGCTTCAAAGACGCGTACGGGGTCGTCAGAACCGAACTGGCTTCACAGCGTTCTCGTAGCTGACACTCCAATCCGCGGATCTTTTCTTCGAGATCCAGGACGACATTTTCGAGAGAAACCGAGGATGACCCCTCAAGATCGCCATCTGATGGCACGGGCTTTGGGGTCATGACACCCGGAGTTGTGTTTGATGAAGAAGGCTCAATGGGGGCATCGGCGCTGGGGGTTCCCTCTTGAGTCTCATGAGCCAATGGTGATGCCTTGGTGCTCTCCTCGGCTGCTTCCTAAGCAGCTTTTGGAGACTGGTGACCGGTAGGCGAGTTGGGGTCTTCCATCATGCAACTGGAGACTACAATGGTACCAAAGAAGGCGAAAGGATGAGACTGACCCCAATCTGGAAGTCAAGATGGCCCCTTCTTGAAGGCGAAGCTATCGAGATTGGTACTGCTTTCATTAGGAAGAGGAAATGGATGACGGTACGGAGAAGCATACCACAGAGATGACCACGATAACCTTGAATGCAACAAGTACAGCGACGGTATGATAGAACGGGCTCTAGAAAGGCTGTTAGAGATAGATATCATTAGGATCAGAATGGAAGTGACATACCATAAGCCGAATCAGACCAAAAGACTCAAGCTGAAATCTATTGCTTTATGCGTGAAGCAGTGTTTCGAAGCCACAACAATTGAGAGGCAGAGCGCGATAACCAGTAGTCTGATGATAACAATCAGTAAACGAAGCATAGAGTATCCATATCATACAGCTTTACCTTGAAGCGGCTTATGATCTGAGTTGTGAGGCTGTGATCCAACCCCGGCGAAGGTTGAATGCGAATGAGAGGATGCAAGAGAAGAAGATCAGAGGACAGAATGAAAGGAAGAAGGTATATATAGTAGCGGAGAGAAGCTAAGGAAACAAAGGAAGCAACCAGAAATCCATGGAAGGAAAAGGATGCATGAAGACGTAAGAAGAGAGGAAGATTGTATAAATTGTGGATATTTTTGTCTCTTAGATCGTCCGTCGTTAGTGAATCAGCTGCCACGTCATATATGCGATTCATTTGACAGTATTCACGGCCAGAATAAAGCTTGGGCTGCTGCTAGATCCTTTCAATCACAGAGGGCAAAGGGAAAAGCTTTGATCAGTGGGGTGTTCTGGTATCCAGGTAGCATGGCACTGCTTTGGCATTGATCATTACCAGAGCTATACGAAGCATTGGTTGATATTTGATTTCTAAATTGCGAATATATTAAAGAAATAGGTGACTAAAGTCTGGAGGGGAACTTTGATATCCTGGTGTGGAGGATGGACTCATCATGTTCTCGAATATACCCCTGAGCAGCATCACTAGATGCTCACGTCCGGCACGTTCCTCGAATAGATCCAGGGCATTTGCTTTAGGAAAGAAACAAGCTGGCTCCAAGTCATCAGGTTCAATTCTTTCATTTCGGAAGCTATTATTCGCATCAAGGTCGAATAGTCCTGGCTACTAGGTTCACTGACACTGCAGAGAACCAGGAGCCAGAGACGAACAACCCGCAGGTCTGCGCTGCAGTTCCATGGATTACCAGCTCCCGCGTCATTTGACATTATTACGAGGAGTGTCGTGATGTGTGCTTGAGCAGTCCCGGGATAAGAGCGGCACCTTCGCTTCACCTGTATGGTCCAGATGATAGCCCCTAGCCGAAGTGACTCTAAGATTATTTCAAAGGGTACATCAGACTTTTGAAGCTGTAGTTTCTTCTGATTTAATAAGTCGTGCGCGATTGAGTTCAAAAGGAGACCCATTTGCTCTTCGTCGTTCCAGATGCCATCGCCCTTGGTTACCTGCTCGGCCTGGAGGAATGTCGCAAGTGCATTCAAGTCTCCCATACATGCAAGAACCGCCAGAGAGCGTTCGCCATATAATATATCGCCGTTCAGAATGCCAGAAAGAGGACCTGGGAGCGTATTCAAGCCTGGGCGAACGAATGGGTCCATGTTCGCGGGTAGTGGAAACAAGGGCTTCGTGTTATGCAGAAGTGCTGCTGTGATATCGACCCTGGAGGACCATTAAATTGCTGTCAGTTGAATAATAAAGTAGCAGAAGGACTTTCGCATACCATGATATCATGAGGAATAGGTCATTTTTCTCTACAGTGGAAATGCCGCCTCTGGCCTCAATCACCACCCAGATACCCCTGATGTGAATCCTCGCTTGGTCAAAATCTAGGTTGGAAAACTACTCAAATTTCAGTCATGCGGCCAAAGTTCATATATATATATATATATGTACGAAGCTTACATTGTAACATATTATCGCTAGAACAGCGCTGATAACGCTGTCTGACGTTGCCCAACTCGTATCAGAGCTTACAAGTCTGGACTCGATACACTGGATTGTCATAAGTGAGCGCTCCAGCGCCAGGGACTTGAGTCCTAGTGATGATTGACGGTATAATTGAATAAGAACATCTGGTGAACTAAAGATTCGCTGGTAGTGCTTCAGGAAGGCAGACTTTCTGAAGGCGAAAGGGGACCAAAACGTATTTGCCAAATACGCTGTATGCCCAGGTTCAGTACGTACAGAATACCCAAATAGATTATCATAGGACTTGAGTTCACTTACTGCCGCTCATAGCATTCTTCCCTGTGGTCATGATAAGAGTAAAACCGTATGCCGAGAACGAATCTTCTCCCCATTCCCTCTCGAAGACAGCCAATGCATACAAGGTAGGTGTGTATATTGTGACCTGGGACTCCTCAAGTGTTTTTGAGTGGCCGCACTGCCTGCTTTTAGGACTTTCGTGTTTGCCGGTGTGCTTTTGTGTCTGCCATGTTAAGGTAACGAACTGGCGATCCTTTGATGGCTTTCTTCGGGCCTTACCAATATCGAGCATAACATGGCGACGGACCTCGGAATCTATTGATTTATGGTTATTTCGACGTGAAGGAAAGTTTGACTGATTGGCATTAACAAAGAGGAGACTCTTCTTCTCTTGAGGCTCCTGCGTCCCTGTCATTGTGACACCAACTGAATATTGTGTCACAACAAGACAAAACTTGAGGGAAATGGATTGAAGAAACAATGCAAACAGTACTTTCGGCCGATTCAATATCTAGGGTCCGATTCTGAGGCCATCCGACCCAAGTAAGACCCACTACAAGCTGAGTGTCTTTTTCTTGAACGTCTGATTTCAAAGGCTCCGCGGAAGCTGACCAGATTGATAATCATAACAGCTTTCATTCACTATAGTGCAAATGATAGATCCTTTCCTTTTCCTGTTTACCAATTGCAGTTTCTGGTATATACACAAGTATTCTTACTCCATCTTTCCCCTTCTTGCTTTACCATTGCCCTTTTTTGGCAGTGGAGGTGACTGTGGCGATTGTGTCTAAGGAGAAGGCTGTGACACAGCAGATCCTAATCCTCCTAAGCCTCTTTTGTGATACCATGAACCGTTTTGAGTACAAGAAGTCATGATTTTGTTGTTATTATATGGTAAATATTGATGAATAATGATCTCGACTTTCGAATGGGAAAGACTTTTTAAGTCGTGGGAGAATAGGATGTATATATATATGAATCAAGAGCCGTCTGCAAAGTAGAAGCATAAAGACTTCAGAATCAAAAACTTCAACATTTTAACCCCTAACTACCATCAAATCTTTGCTCCGCTTCAGACCCTAGACCATCATGTCGGCCGAGAATACGATCACTCTCTACTGCGAAGGCACTCCCAACCCACTCAAGATCTCCATTGCACTTGAGGAACTGGGCTTGAAGTACAATGTACGAGTCCTAAACCCCAAATAACCAGTCTGCTTCTCACTCACTCCATATCTATATAGGCTCGTGCAATCAAACTATTCGAACACGAACAGAAAGAGGAGTGGTTTCTTGCCATTAACCCAAACGGTCGTATCCCAGCCATCGTCGACACAGATGAGTACGGCAACGAACTCAAGGTCTGGGAAAGTGGTGCCATCTTGCAGTATCTTGTGGAGCAGTATGACAAGGACTACAAGATCTCGTATCCCCGTGGTACCAAAGAGTACTGGCAGATGACGAGCTGGGTAAGTCACATACTTGTGAGTTACTCTTGAAAATACATCTAATCAAAGCCCCTATAGCTCTTTTGGCAAGTCAGTGGTCTCGGCCCTATGCAAGGCCAGGCAAACCACTTTGAGAGTACGTTCTCAGTATTGAGGCTAGGTCAAGGGGACAACTGATCTGATATACGCAGTGTCTGCTTTTGGTGATTATCCATATGCCCTGAGCCGATACGTCAACGAAACGCGTCGCCTTTACCGAACGATGGACAAGGCTCTTGCAGAAAATCCATCTGGATATCTTGTTGGTGATCATCTCAGCATCGCTGACATCGCCATTTGGCCATGGACCACCGCATACAGTAAGCACTTCACTCAGGGATTATGGACATTCAGTCAGCTAATTTCTACCTGTAGAGTACAGTGGCGTCTCCCAGATTGACGAGTTTCCTCACGTCAAGAGCTGGATGTACAGGCTCATTGAGCGTCCTGGCTTTGAGAAAGGACGCAATGTGCCCAGTCCTCATATTTACCTCCAGCTCAATGAGTTGCCCGACGAAGAGCTGAAGAAGCTGGGAAGGGAGCGATCGGTTTGGGTTCAGGAAGCTATGAAGCGTGATGCCGAGTGATGGATGAGCCTTGTGGGAAATGTTGGATAGTTGAGATTCTACTTCAATATATGTTTATCATCACTGGTTGTATATCTCGTCTCTTGATGTCGATGTCGTAGAAGAGGAAGTCGTAAGGGGTCATTCTGGTTTGATGGATCATGTGCACACACATCATGGAGTCACATAAGAGCTCGAATGGGGCCATTTTAACCAATTCTATTTTTCTAAATGTCTTCACTGAGGCCCCATTGTTCGACGGAGTTCCAACCATCGCCTCAGCGGTTGGCATTCAAATAAGCACAAGTTAATTATACTTTTAGACAATCAGACTCAAGAACACATAATACGGATAACACCTGATGTCCATACAGCCTTGAGAAGGTCTAATTGTCGACTTTAATGAGACCCATCCAAGTTTGTCTACATCAAATTTAGCATCTCCTATTGTGCCACATATGTCTTCGCCTGAATATTGGCTGACAACTCTCTCCATATAACGCCCAACTTGTGGATATTATCAGCCAAAGTCTCCAGAATACTCTAGAACGTGGCACTAGAGAGCTGAACAAGTATTTATGGAAACACTTTAAACTCACGATATAAGCATTGGCGGTGTAAGGTTTCTCTTCTCAGCACGGGGAATTTTTTTCACGATCGCGCACTCTCCTCTTTCAAACGTGGGCCACAGCGGGACGGCACGCGAGGTCTCCATTTTGGCTTTTTCAGCCCTACGGGTCACTTTCAACGTGTCTAACGGTTGATCAAGTATTTCGACATTTTGTGAGTCAGCTTGTGAAAATTCTGAACAGAACAACGAGGTTGAGCATCCATGGTTGAGTTGGCAATTGGTTTGACTCATCCATGTAAGTCGGGCCCTCGCTAAAGAGAGGTAGCGAGTTAGGTTTCTGCTGTAGAATACGCGAACCGTTGAACTGCTGTAGCCTCGGGCTTCACCGTCTGCTGGTTTTCACATAAGTGGTTCTTTCTCCGTGGCAAATTATGTGCTGTAACGGTAACAGTTGCAGTCACAGCAAGACGTTGTCGTTGTTGATGGTAGTATAAAGTCGTGCGTACGTGTGCTCATGTATCTATCATGCAATCCAATCCAACCGGGATATTTCTGCTCAATCACTGTAACACAAGACAAGTGGATATACAAGGGTTGTACCATTTTTGCGAATTCACAAATAAATAATTAACTAAGGCCTTGATCAATCACCTCATAGAGCAAGTCAACAATACTGAGCCGTGCTGCTCGAAGCGACCCTCGCATATCGTTCGTCAATTTCACTGTGGGCGGAGGATCGATCATCAATCAACACCCCTGCAGTCGTCTTCAATTTTCAGCCCCTCTCTCTCTCGACCTCTCACTCTTCCTGTTCAGGCCAGTTCACCGCGAGATGCGCAAGCTGCAGCAGAGAATCAAAACTCAACAAAGCCAAGCTCCAAGCTAAAAGAATAGGAAAAGACTCCAACTGGACGACCACTCCCAGCTCTCAGGGGTTCTACTCTAGCTACTGTACAGTGGTGGAGTAGCCAAAAGAGACCCCTGAAACGCGCGAATCGTATCTCCAGCCACTCGAATTTACGGTGAAGAAGGATCATCGCGTGTGTGTCCCGTGCGTGCCCGCCGTGGCCCCTCCGAGACTTGACACTACTGTACCTCACTCTTACAGTACATACAGCTCTGACTTGCATCTGCATTGGATTCGTTCGCAGCAGCGCACATCCTTTTAGTCTCCTCGTCTCGATCCTGATTTTCCTCAGAGTCAAAGTGAGGATCAATCAACGACGACTCAATTCTTCAATTGATTTAATAGCGCCTTCTTTCTCGAATGCGCACAGTCTGAGGTTTTCCCTCCCTCTACCTCTCTACCTCCCTCTCATTCTGAAATCTCACCAACAAAAAAAAGACTTCCCTCCGAGAATCCTCCAAAAACATGGGCTTCCTCGACTGGAACGACGGTGCCTCCGTCCTCTCAGGCAGATCTCGCCGTCACAAGTCCTCTCGCTCTCACAAGAAGCGCCGTTCGCGATCCCGCTCCCGCTCTAGCTCCCGTGAGCGTGGTCGTGGTGGCTTCGCCGATATGGCAGACTCCTTCTTTGGCGGAGATCGCTACGGCAAGCACAATTCCTCGCGCTCTTCATTCTTTGGCCTTGGCGGTAACAACAGCCGCTCCAGCTTCTTTGGAAACAGTAATTCTACCCCTCCCTCCCGCCTCATACCTCGGAATCGAAAAGTTGCTAACTGGCTGACTACCTAGGTCGCTCGTCTTACTACAAGCGCTCCCCACGTCAAGGCTTCGTCCAGAAGACATACAAACAACTCAAGCGTCTCCTCCGCGACCTTGTCCACTGGGCTAAGCGCCACCCATGGAAGGTCTTCTTCGTCGTTATCATGCCCCTCATCACGGGCGGAGCTCTGACTGCTCTTCTTGCCCGCTTCGGCCTACGTATCCCACCCGCCATTGAGCGCATGCTCGGTGTCGCCTCCAAGGCTGCCACAGGCGACTCCTCCGGCCTCGTAGGTGAAGCTGTCCGCATGGCCAGCGGTTTCGGCGGCAACAGCGCTGTTCGCGTAGAGCGTGATACGCACTCCTACAGCGGTGGCGGCGGTGGTGGCGATACTTGGGGTGGTTTTGCTGATATGGCCAAGAAGTGGATGTGAGTGATGTTACTTCAGCGAGATGGCGTCGTTGCTTTGGACTTTTGACACTGCCCTTTTTGACTGACGAGACGCACGCAATTGGCTTTGCTTGAGGCGTTTCAGGAACGGAACGGATTGGAATGGCAAGGATTTACTTGAGAGGATTATTGTGCCCGCATCGCCATATTACTGGTGGTTTTACATAGAGACTGCATGGCAGCATTCTTGAATACATTTCACGACTTAATGACCCTGAATATTTGGACTTTGTACCTGTCTGGAGAATGTGATCGCCTTCCCTCTCAAACTCTACGATATCATCCTTTTCCCGAAACAGACCCAGCATTTATCATGTCAAAACGGAATAGGGTTACGAGGCATACCTCACGTTGTCGTAAAATTCAGGCTCAAAGTCATTTCAGCACTATGTTCATTACTAGTTCTGTGCATTTACCAGCCGCCTCCGCAAAATACCTAGTTAGATTTCTCATATTGACAGCAGCATAGATGCCACATTTGGGTTGTCCAACTCCCTGAGGAGTCCAAGCTACCCAAGTATCTGACTCAACCATCGGCCCTGTCGACCTGGGAGTCAGGTACATGAGGCAATGCCAGATACCAATGCTATTCATGCAATCATTAACCTCTGCGCCCATTCCATTCCTTAAACTAAAATACTGGGGTTTCCATCAATCCAAGGCCCGTACCAGGTCTGTTGGTGCCTTGCTTCTTGACCAATAATGTTAATATGGCCATTGCTCCATGCAGTGGCCCCAAATAGAGTCGACTTGGTAAGGCTGTCGAGTAAGGCTTCTCGGTTGTGGGATGCCATAAAGAATATTGTACATGCACCGTGCAAATGCAACGGCAGTCATAGAACGCCAACGCTGTAGAGTTTCTTCAAGTCGCATATCTCATTCATTACTTCGCCTCACCCTCTTTCTCCTTAGCGGGTTTCCAAAACTGCATCATTCGACCCAGCTTCTTCGTTCGGCTACTCTTTGCTTTCTTGTGATTCTCGTCATTGTCCAGTGTGACCTCCATTGAGAGCTTGCTCCGTTCACCATGAGAGCTACTGATGAGACGGCTGAGGCTGGCAAGACTTGATCGACGTCGTCCAAAAGCAGCAGAGGAAACCGAAACTGGTCGAGGTTCTCGGAGAGCGGGTTGTGATTGGCGCTGACTGGGTAGGAACATGCTTTCCCTCGTCATTGTAGAGTTGCTAGATGTCAATGAGGGAATATCATAATCCACTGAAACTCGAACCTCGGGTCCAGGCTCTCCCATCAAGAGCAAAGAGCGAAAGTTGTTCTCGTCCGTGACTGATGAGGGAGCTGTTGAGATTCGCTGAACCTCAACAGACATGGGTGACCGGGGAGACGGGAAAGAAGAAGAGTAGCTCATGGCATAAGGGCTGTTCGGAACATTGGCTGGTGCAGGAAGATGCAACGGGCTGACTTCACCAGGTGAAAGATCCTTGGTGCCTGAGAACCTCCTCAATGAAGATGGGGTGGAATCGGTAGCCTCAGGTCGCTCAGCAGGCATGAAAGGGGATCGAAAAATCACGCTTGGCATCTCCTCGGCGATAACGCTTTCGTGTAAAGATGACCTCGAGCGCTCACCCCGCACCGTGCTCGCAGATATTTGATCCTTGTCACTCAGGCTCGAGGTAGTTCGCCTCATGGCTTGATTCGGCTGGCTTGAGCTGTGTATTGAAAGCTTGTCTTGCGAGTCACGCAGAGGATCTCTTGTAACAGCAGCTGGGGGTGTAGCATCGCTGTCAGAGTCAGTCTCTTCTTCAGAAGAGTCATCTGTTGTCCCAGATCTGGCATTGTCGTCGTCATCCTCTTCATCTTCTTCGAAAACATCGGCCATTGTTGAGCTACTGTTGTAGCGGTGCATGCCAGCACGGCCTGGATCAAATGGAGGTAGATCGGGAGCAGATTCTGCTCGACGATGATAATGCATACCAGGACCACTGAAGCCCTTCATGCCTTGAGCACTATGAAGCCGTCGCTTACCAGCACCACCAGCAGCTCGTTGCGCTGCCTCCCACTCTGGGTTGAGTGGTAGCGGAGTGTTGAAGGGGCCAAGAGCTGCGTCGAGGTCGATCATAGGATATGATGATTCATCTGCTGATCGCTTCGGAGCTTCATCTTGAGGAATGTCGGGAGATTCGGTGACTGTAAGAGTTGGTGTCGAGATTTCCAACAATTCAGGCTCTCCATACATGGCATCCTCGCCTTCGTATCGAGCGACTCTAGGAGCTGGTGGAGTTGGAGGTCGACTGCCCTCAGATTTTGATCGCTTGCTGTGAGATTTAGGCTTTCGTGGCAATATAGCCCCAGCCCAGCCTTTCACCTTCTTCTTTTTCTTCTTACTCTTTTTGCTGCTCTTACTCTTGACGAGAGTGACTTCAGCATTTTCACTAACTGGATCAGCTCCATGTCCAGTCACGGGCAATGCCTTTGTTAGCAGATCAATTGACCCGGCGCTCTGTGGTCTCTTGCCAGGTGATGTGTTTCCAGCAGATGAGTCTCGAACGAAAAATGACCAGCGCTTCCTTGTCGGGCTTGGTTCAGGATCCTCCGCTTTGGGAGCGTCAACAAAATTGAGTAATGTCGGGATGGAATTTCGACGCCTTGGTGAAGATGGCGTGTTAGCTTGATCAGGAGTACCCTCGAGGATAGCACCTGCGGTGCTTGGCCTCGAATCTGAGAGTTCGCGAGTTGATGTTTGAGACAATGGCGAAGGACTATCCCGACCGTTGTGAGATGCAGCTGAAACAATTGACGATATGCTGCCAGATACAGAGTGTCCAGGTCGCGCTGTTACTGTACTGGAAGTCTCATTAGAGACGAGGGACAAAGGTCGTGGGATGAACTCAAGCGTGTCAGAGAAGCCAACACGAGCCTTAGGTTGCTTGGGGCTTCCGCTGGGTGAAGGGACTGAAACAGGCTTCTCGGTTTCCTTTGGCGCCTCGGGCTCAGGAGCTGATTCGGGCTCAGGTACAACCTTCTCTTCTAGAGGTAGAGATGGCTGGGAGCTGGGCTGGCCAAAGGTGGTCGGGCTAGTCGGTGCGCTGTTTCCTCGGCCGGCGGCATCAAAGACAGGAGGCTGGAGAATTGGTAAGTCATTTGTTGAGATGGCGCCTGAAATTCCTCTTCGATGGCCTCTTCTAGGTGGTTGAAATGTTGGCGTTACGAGTCCACTCTCTGACTTGGTAGGACTAGTGCTCATGATGGCGATCGAGTTGCCTTCGCGGATACGTCCCCCAACAAATTCACTCCCGCCTCTTCGATGTCCATGGCCGCCGGGTCGCTGTGATGATGCAATGTTTCTGGGAGAATGAGGTGAGATTGGAGGAGTCAGGAGAAAGTTGTTCTCACGGTCTGGCGAAAGTAGAGCACCAGGGTTGAAACTAAAGTCAGGCAATGCCGAACGAGACTGTCCGTCTGCATTCTCAGCAGGGAACCCAAAGCTGAAGTTGGGAGTCTCAATGGCCGACATGGGACGACGACCGGTCGCTCGCGAGAAGGAAGAGGGCGCTGACGCCGGGGCGGGCGGTTTGGCTGGAAAGACGAATGGAGGGTTTGGCGGTGGCTCATCAAGCTGAGCCTGTGATTCAACGGATTGAGGGCCCGCAAATGAGTTCATTGGGGAAGCGAATCGATCGGAAGGGCTATCGAACGCTGGACCGGGAGTTGGACGGGTTAGCCGCTCGGGGCCAAATGCGGTTGCCATCTTCTCCTCAGCCGCGCAGCGGCAATGAAGTGATGGACAACAATGTGGGAATTAAAGGTTCATAGGACAAGCAAGGCAACCGTTCCAGAACCGCCGAGCTCGCTTAATTATTCGATTCGAGCAAGTGTATAGCAATGATGTTGGTAATTTCGAAGAGAGTCGCGTCTGAGGCGTCACAAGCATCGATCAGTATAGATCTTGAGATTGAGATTGAGCACGCAAAAAAGGCAAAGAGCGTCGGCTTCGAGAAAACAATATTGCTACAAATAATGGCGAGCAAGTCGTACTGGGGCAACGGACCAGATAACACGGCAGCAACAGGCTTGAAAGTCGTCGAGATGGATCGCGGAAAATTGGGTGGACGAGCAACTCGAATGGCGGATGTTAAAACTATGGTATGTAAAGAAAAGGAGTGGACGGCCAAGACCAGCGCAACTCTACAAAAACAAGAGAGCAACTGGAATCGCACCAAGAAAGAAGAGGTCGGGAGGAGGAAGAAAGAAAATCTTCGCTCGCAAAGGCGGCGTTTTCGATTTGAGGTGCGGCCGGAGAGATGAAGAAGAGAGGACGGGACGGGACGGGGGAGGGGGGAGATAAAACGCGATTTCGTGATAAAAGACAGGCCAGAGGGAAAGAGGTAAAGCCAAATGCACTTGTGTTCAGCCACGCCCAGCAAGCGCAAGTGTATGCAAGTGCAAGGGGTCCCCACTGCCAACTGTGATGGGGGTACGTATGGGCAGGTACCGCTGCAACCAACACGATGCGAATGGACGGCCGGAAATGGCCAGGGAGGACATGCATCTCTAGTACCTCTACTCTGCGCTTCCTTCCAACTTTGGCCAGGCCCCAGGCCCAAAGGTAGGCCCCCTAGTCTTGGACTCTTGGTAGTTAGTTCATGATCCCTAACTAATCCCTAGTCCCTTAGTCCTTAGTCCAGGTACCTGGCCTGCTTGCTGGCGTGGTCCTGGACAATCCGCCCTGGCATCCACAGTCCACACTCGACAGAGACACGACATGGCCAAGGGGCGCCACCTCTCTCGGGGACTCCAGCTGCCCGTGTTGGCTGCCAAGATTGGATCGGGTGGATGCCAGTGGAAGGCGGTTCATGAATCGACTCGGTGTTAGGGTGACCCGATCAAGAAGCCGAGGGAACCCAAAAGGGATTGTGTGTGATGAACTATGCTACTTTTTGGTAACATGTGTGCAGTCTGATGCATTGTGAAAACACTTACTAAACGTGGAGAATATCTGGGCATACATACATGCTGTGCCCAAGG